CACGCGATGCTAGACCAACCTCCGCTCAATCGAGTTGTCCAGCGCGAGGGTGAAGTTAAACAGGAGGCCATTGAAACCTTTCGCCAGGACGACTTGGATTTGCAGTACCAGGCCTCATATGCCAGCAGTACTGGCTACGAGGATGAGGATGGTAGATTATCTCCGAATGCACCGGCGGGACGCAGGGCAGCCCAAAGACAACAACAACAAATTGCTGATCATCCCCATGGCCAGGTCTGCAATGTCGAAGACGATATGGAGGGCTATGAGACGCTGGATGAGGACGACGCCAGTAAAGCCAACCATACGGTCCTCGTTCGGCTCGAGTCCTACGACGAACTACCTAGTGAGATTAGTCAACATGCGCAAGCCAAGAAATTCTGGAGGGCCGAAGGGTCGAAGGGTCAAAGGGGCATCCAACAGGAGGGCGTTAGTGATCAGTTTGCGAATGAGCTCCCCAAGATGTCAACGCTACCCGAGGAGACGGAAGGCAGGGAGTTCTTTTACGCGCCCACTGCTCATTCGATGCCGGCCAGAGAAGTCCTTCACAGAGCCGGCTATGAAAAGGATGTAATTGCCCAGCGGGCTAAAGTTAGTCAAGTTCCTATCCTACCAATGGCTGCCAAGAACAAAAGTGAGGACGTCTACATGGCCACCACCGCCGTTAACCAATCACCTACTTCGAACGCAGTCTTTGCACAGAATAGGTCGGATATGGATCACCTGCAGGAGCCTGTCAGACAAACGAGGAAACAGATGAGAAGTTACCATGGTGACATGATGAGCGGTTTTGCTGCCAGGCAAGCAGCCGATCTCAAAGATCCCATGAGCTCATTTTCATCTGGAGGCGGCGGCGGCGGCTTGGGCGGCCGGAACGCGAGTCGAAGGGCCAAGTCTTGCAATCCAGGCGACGCTCGTAATCTCAATCCTCGCCTCTTCTATGCTAGTTCCCAGAGCCTAACACAGGATCCGCGGAGTGCGCGGGAATTTCAGCGGCAGACCAACAACTTCAGCCCCCT